CAGCTAGTGCACATCCAAAACAACACTGGATGGGTTTTGACCTTTCTGGAAATCATCAACAATGCGCTTTCCATCTTCCTCCTGGATGGTAGAATTCCATGCATTTTTACGCATCCGTGGTCAAGAACACCTGGCCCAAAGCGTTGTGCAACTAGTTCCATTATTCAGTACTTAGGTGTAAGATAGATCCGTTACTTGGACCACAGGTGGTGCAAGAATACAGGAAATTTGTTGTACAATCCAATGCCAGCGACCAGCAACACTTAACAACTATAGGTTTCATATACTGTCATAGTGATTGAGGTGACCAATGCCCCATGCAAAACAGACCACTGTCAAAAAAGGGATTGCTTGTCGCTAACCGGCCAAGCCGAGTACATTAAAAAGCAAGCCAGTGGTAAGTGGTTATCACACTTATGGTTGATGTTGGACTAAGAGCTCGGTAGAAGCGCCGTAAAAATCTCAGCTCAAAGTTCCCATGTCCCCGGTTAGACTCCCCCTTAGATAATCTCTACCTAGGGATTGCGGATGATCATGAAGCCGGCTATGGAGCGCAGAGTTTGTAGTGGGTTACAAATGATCTTCAATTGGTGCCCTCATCGATTTGGTTGGAATAAATATTTTAATGAAGGCCTGAGTGAAATGTTTTGTACCGTAACTAACGAGATAAATAAGTATGTCAGTTAGTGACCTGTTACGGCTTACAGTGACAGTTGTCTACTTGTACAATTCGATGACTAGTCATTAATATGCAGATGCTTTTACGCACAGCCATAAATTTAAATAAAAGTGCGTCTAACTTTTTCAATTTGCTCGTAAGAAACTTGATAATTCCCATTTAAGTTCCATTTGAAGAGCAATTGCTTTCATTGTTTCATCTTCAGACTGTTACAATAATTCATAGAGGTAAAACAAATAAAACCGACCCAGTTAGGTTAAGTTATATGGATCACGTGAATGTTATTGTCAGGGACGATAAAGCGTAATGCTCCTTTTGCTTTAGTATTACGGAGTTTGACCCACGTCACTTGACGTCAATGTAAGAATCGAACGGCCTTGTCGTTTAGTGAAAGACCGTGCTAAAGCATAAGCGAATGGGTGTATCATCTCACTACCATACAGTAGGTAAGTTGGTCAACAAATGAATCTGATAGCAAGAACGCACTCTGTATACCTGGCCTCAGACTTAAATGGCTATGCACAATGAAACCCATCTGCTGGAGCACGGCTTATAGCTGCAATCAAATAGTGGGGCAAAGCAAGCGGAATTCACAGTTGACTGGACTTACCAAATAGGGCCACAGCTTGCGCTAACTGTATGAATGAGGGAGAGATCGGTCTAAACCAACCAAATTCATTCGGATCTTCCAGAAGCGTGTCAACGCATTGGCCGAGCAATTAATCACGATAATCACCGTTTACTTAGCTTATTAGCATTTTGTTGACAGTAAACTCCATCCTAATCATAGAGACTAATGACTACGTACAGAATGCATCTCGCGAGTATTTGACAGACAGGTGCTCATCTTATATCAGCATGTTTTCAGGTCGCATTTTCTCATGACAACTTAGGCACCATCATAAAATGACTGAGGGCAGAATGTCTTTAGTTCAGTTGAAAACACACCATAACCGATGACCAAGAACCCCATGAAAAGGTCGCGAGTTAGTCAGACCTGCTTCCAGGATGATTAAACCCGAGAACGAAATGACTAAGGAAGAGGATTTACGATCAACTTTCTCCAACCTGCGAAATTCCTTGCATATAAGCAACGGTACTACTCACATTAGTGCCTGGAAAATGTCCATAGACCAACACAGTTATGGAGACATTTGTACTCCTACAACGGATCTCTACTGATCTACTGCCAGACCCTGAAAACCACCTTCTACTTGGCCCTTATCATTCTGTGCTGCGGTTGTGGTAACGCTATCACGGGTGATA